AACCAATCCAACCAAATTGTCTACCAAGCACATGTTCTTCAAGGCATTCAATGCTGTCGGACTCTGCAGCATACAATAACAAATTACGAGGCTGGCTGAGTTATGCATTTGCAAGGTGAGCCGCCAGTCCAATTCACCATGTTTACGCGTCTGACAAGTTGTTTCGACAGCGAGGTCTTCGTCATAGTCTCCTTGACACTATTCCTACCAATATGCCTCGAACAATTCGCGAGAGATAACGGTTATCTACTCCCAGATCGTATCGAGCCATGCTCTGCAATCTCCACCCTGCAGACTGGACCCGCACGTTGCGTGGTTAGGATAGGTTGGGTTTGGATTGACAGTGCCAGCTTTAGGTGAGTACTCGTTGAGAAACCTTTCTGCGCTCTAATACCAGGATATATAGCTTATATGTTTATTCGATTTCTGTGGCTCTACAAGCCCTTACTGTCATTTCTATGGGTGGAATTGCCGACCATCGTGTGTCCAGTACATTTCACCTCTATCATCAGTCACTCACCTTTTTTCGGTTCAACAGCCCCACACAGAAAACGCCTACTCCTCTCATTTGCTCTTCTAGGAGCCATCCCCGCCACCATCTTCCTAATCCTACCCTCAACCTCTCCATTTTGGATCTTAGCCGCACCTCTAGCCATTTTCGCCAATGTCGGTTTTGGAGCCTCGGTCGTAGCAATGAACGCATACCTACCCACCCTCGCGAAGGAATCTCCCGAGGTTCAACGAATTCTGTTCGAAATCGAGGACTCGTCGCAGGGAGTAGCCCATATATCCCACACACCAACCCTTCCAGACGAGAGCTCAGAAAACCCAGATTCACCTCTGATTCGTCAAGACACGACCACCACCACCAGCCTCAATGAACATGAACTCCATACCCTAAGAATCAAATACGACACCGAGCTATCCAGAGTCACATCCCGCATATCTTCGTTTGGGATTGCCCTCGGTTATGGTGCAGGGATATTCTTGTTGATAATAGCACTTATCCCGGTGACACTTCTACATGGAACGACATTCGCGTTAAGGTTGGCTATAGGGATTAGTGGGATTTGGTGGGCCGTATTTACTATACCTGCGGCGATTTGGTTACCTGGTGGTGGTGGTGGCGGCGGTGATGGGTCTGTTGGGGAAGGAGGCCTCTCCAGTGCTGACGACGCGTCGTTTTCTGGTCAATGGAACACCAAACGTGAAATCATCGCAGCATGGAAACGTCTCGGAAATATGCTTCGTTGGAGCGAAATCAAAAGGTTAAGGAACACTTTCAAATATCTTGCGGCATGGTTCCTACTCTCAGATGGTATGTATGATAATTCGATCTCCCCAAGTACAGGTATGCAATCTAAAATCTTTTTTTTCCTAAACAGGGTTCACAACGATCACATCCACCGCTATACTATTTGGCAAAACCACGCTTAACATGCAACCTTCCGCACTCATACTTGTGGGCGTATTAACACCTACTTCTGGAATCCTCGGTTCTCTCGCTTGGCCCCACCTTCAACGCCGATATGGCTGGTCAAATTTGAAAGTCATCATCATACTCGT